GCATTTGCACCATGCTGACCTTCATGCCACTCCACCCCTCAGTAAGCAGTGGCAACTCAACTGTCGGGGAAACCAGTAAGCACTGCCTTTCTACCACACCATCCACTAGTGACATTAACAAAGAAGATCCATAGGGTCTACATATGAGGATAATCTTGAACCAAGACTCTGTTGGTGTGTTCTCATGCTGCTCTTGGTTAAATGTTTTGGATATCGGTGCCATTTTAAAATTGTTTCTATATTTACTGTGAGCCATCTCGAGGAAGACATTGTGTTCTGAAAGGCAGGAGTTCTCAAAATAAATATTTTTAAAAATGCTTTTAAGTAAGATCAGCACTGTGCAATGCAAGAGATAATGCTGGCTGGGGGCGGGGAATTAAATGCATAAGCTTCACTGATAACTATCAACTTGACAGTAATTGTCCAACAAGTAAAGATGATTTTCTTTTCTCTGATAAATATATATACACATACAATATTTGTAACCAGCATTTTCATTTTCGGGTCACTTGTTCTGCTGTCATAATTTGTTCTGACCAATCAGTTATATGTTGTAACAGATGTGCTAGATTGGAGCAGGCTGGAACATTTGGCTGCAGTAATACAGTTTGTATAATAGGGGTCCCAGCCAATGGAGCAAGTGCTTAACTGTTTCACACACCGGCTGAGGATTCAATCCATTATGCTTGCTGCTAATACTGTTTAGTTGCAGTGAAAGTTAAACAGGCTTCAGGTTTTGTGTGTAGCTCCAGATTTTATTTCTGCCAGTAGTGTAGTTCTGAAGATTCCTGTCCCATTGATCAAAGAGCAACTTTATTCATAAAGTGTACATGCTCTATTTATTCTTTCATCTTGTAAGCTAAAATCAGCCCCTGTGTCAGCAGGAATTCAGTTTCTCCTTGGTCTCTCCAGTCTACCCAAGGCTGAAATGATGAATGCAGCAGAAGACTGCAACTGAATTCACATCCTCAGCAATTCAGCATGCCCCGTACAGGTCCATCTTCTAGGCATTGTACAGTTCGTACAGGAGGCCTCTCAGTTTGATAAATCGGGTCCTCCCTTAAAGAGGGCATGTATTGTGGTGAGACCTGGACAACCGACTCCCTGTGTTGTGGGTGGGAACATTTGGTAAGCCACAACACCCAATTGGTAGGTCCCTCGAAGCTGGGGACAATCTGGCCAATGGGACATAGTCCAAACAGTTCGAGGGACCTATTTATGCCAAGCACGAGACCCAGAGCTTCCTCTTTTGGCGCGTGCATTCAGAACACCCACCCATCTCTCCCTACCTTTAGGGCTTGTTGCCCTTGACCTTGTTATGCCATCGTGTGTCATCTGTTGTTGGGAGAGGAGCACAGCAGGAATTTTACGCACTTGGCTGATTGGCTGTTGGCATTTGGGTTTCGCCTGCCGCGTAGCAAATTGTCACAACTTGTAAGGTTCCGGATAGGCTCTGATTCAAGTGATAGGGGTGGGAGAACACTCTCGCCATCCCTATGTGAAGGGTATTCCGTTAAAGGAATCCAGGGACTTGATGGTTTGGTCAACCCCTGTGAGGGGGTTGTGCCCGTGCCTGAGTCCAGGGGGACATTTGGGTGGCGGAGTTAGCCCGTGCCCGGCTTTCCGCTTATCCAGGTGTTCACCCTAGGCTGACAGCCTGGGTCAGCGCTACCTGCATAGCAGGGAGCTAGTCGAACCAGAGCCTATGCAACCAGTCACTTTTTGTAATCAATAAAGTTGTGGCCTAAATTCTGCCAAAAGCCAAACCAAAATTTTGAGTCAAGTGTGAATTTATTTAGGGGGGAGGTTTCTGGGTCTGAACATGCAACTACTGCAGAGAAAATGCCTCCAAGTGGTGATGAAGGATGGGACAGGATTTCAATTCGGTTTGCATTTTTCAAACCAAAATGCAACTGAAATTCACACTTCTCCGAATTTTGCAATACAAAACTCTGACGAAATAATGTGTATGAAAATGTACGAATTTGGAGAAAGTGTGTGTAAAATGCTTACCAATGGAAATAACATACAAAAAATGTCCCATATTAGGTAACACTGCTTGCAAAAAATATGTTTCTTTGGCAACAACGGCTGCTGCTCATTGGGACTGGTAGGGCAGAATCCAGGGAGGACAACAGAATGACCAGTGGTGCCAGCGAATCTAGTGTCACCCCCCCCCATCCTCCTCCCCACAGAGTTCTGCAATGGCAGCACTGAGATTATGGAGAAGGAAGGTGACAGTCAGTGCCGTCCCCTGGACTGGGGGTAGGTCAGGCAAGTGGTGGTTGGCTGTAAGCAGACTGGGGTTAGTGGAGCAATACCCCATCTGTCCTAATGGACCAGCCTCCACTGTTCACAGGCAAAATGGTGTATATGAGGAGCAATGAACACAAAAATGCTGAAAAATTGTCATCAGGCCTTTAATTTTTAACTGCAAGCTGCAGAAATGTGGCAAACTGAACTTAAGGGAGGGGAAGAAGAGAAACTGAGAGACTGAAATTGACAGATTTGTCATTTCCTGGTGGTGAGATAGCAAGAGCAGCCACAAAAATAGATAACCTAGGAAAGTTTAGATAACCTAGGAAAGTGTCTGTGGGATCCGCACTGTGCCCCTCCCACAGCTCATCCTGTCACCTGTGCCGTGTTCTGAGCATGAGCAGAAAGGACCTCATGCCTCCTTCAGAGGTGAACCAAAAGTTGTGGCAGGTCAAATTTATCATACTGCCTTGGCATTGAGGGACTGTCCTTGTGAAAGCTGCTCAGTTGGGACATTAGCCCCAGTTCTTCCAGTGTTTCCCAAACTTGGGTGTCCAGCTCTTTTTGGACTACAACTCCCATCATCCCTAGCTACCAGGGACAGTGGTCAGGGATGATGGGAATTGAAGTCCAAAAACTGTGTGACTCCAGAAAATGATTAGAGTGAAAGGAGAGTAAGGTTAAGATAGAAGAAGAGATCAAAGAAATAATGAAATGCATTTAAGCTAGTTGGAAAAATAAAGTAGCATAACAAGAACGGCTGGAAGTCAAGTCACTTGGTGGGTGTCCGTGTGGGGTAGGTGTGTAGTTGTGTTGATATGTATGGTATAGGTAGGTATTATATAGAGTAATGTAGGTATGTTTTATGCTATGAAAATAAGGTAGTGTGTTGTGTATATGTATTGTGTAAATGTAAATGTATGTGTCTTATATGTTATAATAAATTAAATTAAAAAATGAAGTCCCAAAACAGCTGGACACCCAAGTTTGGGAAACCCTGTTCTACACTGTAATTTTCATTGGGAAATATGAAATATCTCTTCAGTACTTTCGCTGCGCTTGGCAATTCAGGTGAACCCTATGTTTCAGTTTTAAAATTAGGGCACATCTATTAAAGGGAAGGTGAGTTTTTAATCAAAATCAGTCTGTATATTTTAACTATTTCTGATTGTTTGTGGATCTTGCTATACTCCACTTTTCATAGGCACAAGACTTGCTGAAATAAACAGAACAAGTTAATTGTCTAAAAGTCTCATTTATTTAAGTGGAACAAAGATGGCCAATCTTCTATAGATCTGAGTCATTAAAAAGCTTTGAGGTTTTATTTATAATTAAGTGGTATACAAATTCTCTTTAATAAAAATGCCCACATAACCAACAACAACTTTAATATCACTGCTCTGCATAATTATATACTGTAGACTTTCCACAACATTCACTAATGGGAAGTTCAGCTTCTCTTCCACTTATACACCTGACTGTGTTCATATATTAAATGAGTTCCATAATATTCCAGGGTTATAAACATGAATAATGGCTGATCTAATCTTTAAAATAACATAATATACACTGGATATTCCAGTGGGGGGCGGCAACCAATGTTAAATTTTTGCTTTATCCTATGCAAAATAATTCAGATTCCTCTCCCCCGCCCCCCCCATTCTGCGGAGAACTTATGCCAACAAATTGCTGCTATGAGCTAGCCTACATCTAAAGCCAGAAACGGCTTTCAAAATTATCCTTCTCTGTTCACATATATTTGACGTAAATTACATCAAATTGTATTTGAAACACCAAACTGGCATTAATGGAAGCTTTATCCACCCCCCACCCCCTTTGCTTCAGGCACCATTTTAAAATAGATGAGCATAAAAATGCAGTCTGCATCATTAAGTTTATATGAAACTAGTGAGAATAAAAATCACCATGTAAGTTTTTAATAAGATGTGTTTTTCATTCCAGTTTAATAACCCAAGTCTATATTCATCTTCCAGTATAATAAATACGCTGAAAGGGAGGCCTTCTTTTGTGGGCTTTAACGTGTTGAAGGTTCCTGAAGATGGAGCTTTCCGGGAAGCTGGGAAAAAGAAAATTCTTTTAATATGGCAGTGTGGAGTATTATTATCATAAATAATTAATGTGCACAGCGGAAGAAAAGCTGAGCTTCATTAATAATTCTTATTTTTAGTTGGCATAGGCTGGAGGTGCTCTATCTTTTTCCATGCGATCCGTGTCAATTTCCTTGATTTTAATTTAATAGATGTTAAAATTTTAAAGGTGGTCTGCTGTGTTCTGCGGCGGACTTTGTGTGTGTGTGTGTGTTTATGCATTTGTTTGTGCCTTTTCATTAATATCCCAGCACCAATTCTTACCCGCAAAGATATTTTTAGTAGCGTGTACACAAGGAAGGTGGGGGTGGGGAAAGCACCATAGAGGCAAGGTAGAGTGGGCATCACTGTCAGCTTCTTTCATCTTACATTTCCCCGTGGGACAAAGATTCTTCTTTGATTAGGACCTCAGGAAATATTAAAAAGCTTTGCTGTGAATTTGAGCTCATCAAAACCGACTCTGTGTTTTTCTCCTTCTTCTTTAAAGAAAACAATATGCTGGGATAATTCACCTTTTCTTCTTCTTCTTCCTTGCAATGGCAGGCTCCCTTTCATTTGTGATGAAACGAGAGCTAATTTCTCAGACCGGTTTGCATGCTAACCCTTGTGATTTGCTGCTCTTTTTTTTTTTTGCGCATGGCAAACCGCAGCCGCTCTTGGATCGCTAGCTTGCATGGAGCTGCTATCAAGGATGCCTCATTGTTGCAGATTGTTTGCTTCGGTTGTTCTTCAGCCCTTGTAATGTCGCACAGTGATGTAGAAGAAGGAGCAAGAGCTGGTGGCAAACCTCTGATTTACGACTTCGCATATTCAAGAGGACAACTTAAGCCCCTGTTCAGGCATTAAAAAAATTCTATCCATGGAAGGGGTACAAGGCTGTGTCAGTTAGACCCAACCTCTTTGCCCCTGAGCTTTCTGGGGTGAGCGGGAAGATTTGAAGGATAATTCTAAGTCATTTGGCTGAATGTTCTTACAGTTCTCACTGTGCTTGGGAACCTTGCTCAGTCAGAGGACTATAAATATGTTTGATCAATGTACTTACAATTCCTCTTTATTCTATAAATTTTTAATTCAATTTTCCACCCCCCCTATATTACATCATAACAATTATTATTATTCACAATTTCAAAATTTCCCTCAACCTCCTTCTCTGGTTAATTTCACAATAATATCATTCCTGCATATTACCTTTCCCCCTCCTTTTTTATATTTTAACTTATAAAATATAACTTTTGCTAATTGTAGATGATTATTCAAAACCTGCTAATGAGTTCAAGTCTTTGCATTGATTCTGTATGTAGGCCGAAAATGGTTCCCCGTCTTTCTTGAAGGATTTTTTGTCCTTATTTTGAAGTCTCTCAGTTAATTTTGCCATTTTGGCATATTCCGTAAGTTTTTCTTGCCAATCTTGTTTAGTTGGTATTTCATCGCTTTTCCATCTTTGTGCAAATAACATCCTTGCCATCGTTGTGGCATACATAAAAAGTTTTTGTTTACCTTTTGGTAAATCTTGATCTAAAATTCCTAAGAAAAAGGCTTCTGGGCTTTTGACAAAGGTTATCTTAAACATATATTTTTTTCATTTCATTATATATCATTTCCAAATAATTTTTAATTGTTTTAGAATTCGACCATAAATGATAAAACATGCCTTCCTTCTCTTTACACTTCCAACACTTAAAGTAAAGGTAGGTCCAGTCGTGGCCGACTCTGGGGTTGCGGCGCTCATCTCGCTTTATTGGCTGAGGGAGCCGGCGTACAGCTTCCGGGTCATGTGGCCAGCATGACTAAGCCGCTTCTGGCGAACCAGAGCAGCACATGGAAACGCCGTTTACCTTCCTGCCGGAGCGGTACCTATTTATCTACTTGCACTTTGATGGTCTTTCGAACTGCTAGGTTGGCAGGAGCAGGGACCAAGCAACGGGAACTCACCCCGTCGCGGGGATTTGAACTGCCAACCTTCTGATCGGCAAGTCCTAGGCTCTGTGGTTTAACCCACAGCGCCAGCACTTATTGGAGCCCAATTTCTCTTTAGACTTTCCCATTCAATCTGCACAGCCCTGCCACAGGTAGAATTTAAGAATGCCTGAACAGGACTTCAGCTCTGGCTGCATGGAACCAAGCATAAAACTGAGAATACACTGATGTGCGAGAGCCAATTGAGACATTATTTTTGCCATGGGAACGGCAATCCCCATGGTGTAGTGGAAGCTGGTCCACTAGCGCAACCAGGCTACAGCCCTCTCTCTGAAAATGTCAGGTGATTTTTAGAAATTTTTGTGGGATATAACCAGCCTCATGCAACCAACATGCTTAACTCTAATTAATGCATGAAGGGGTTAAGACCATAGAGGAAGCTGTTCTTCTAGGCTTAGCTAGGTCACACTCCCTCACCTTGGAGGGAAGGGCTACCCAACTCTTTGTTCTCTCACTTTCCACCTTTTTGCACCAGGAAGGACATTTAGGTTGATTGCTCCAAGTCCAAGCTAATACCAAATGGCTTTAGCAAGCCATCTTTGTGTATCTATACAAATAATTTAGAAACTACATTGGCTGCCAGTTAGTTTCTGGGCCCAATTCAAAGTGCTCCGGACCACCATACCTCAAGGACTACCTCTTCCCATAAAAACTGACCCGGACACTGCAGTCATAATCTGAGGCCCAGTTTTGTGTGCCTCCTTCATGAGAGGTCTAGAGGATGGCAACATGAGAAAGGGCCTTTTCTGCCATGGCTCCCTGTTTGTGGAATGCTCTCCCCAGGGAGGTTCGACTGGCACCTTCATTATACATCTTTAGATGACAGGAGAACTCAATCCTCTTTAAACCTTTGGCTAATGTCCTTTTAAATGTGTTTGTGAGAGGAGGGTTATTGTTTTATTTGTTCTTGTTTTTATTATGCACTTTGTGGTTTTATTCTGTATTTTTTGTGTCGTGAATCGCCCTGAGATCTTTGGATGACGGGTGGTATACAAATTTACTAAATAATAATTAACAATAATAACAGTCATGGGTCCCCCCCCCAATAATCCTGGAAACTATGGTTTGTTAAAGGTCCTTGTGGCTCTATGAGGGGTAAACGACAGTTCCCAAGATTCTTTGGGATAAACCATGCATGTTAAAGGAGTGTGTGATTAAATATATGGTGTGCATATGACCTTAAGCTCAACAAGAGGCCTAACTACTGATTGTGTTTCATGCTTTTGAGAAACGTGTGCATATATTAGCTACTTTTATTTTGAAGAAAAAGCAGCTACAGGACCCTGATCTGTAATGTTTCCTGCCCATAGCTGGCATACTCCCCCAAGTCCTTGGAAGCTGTTTGCCTCCAAGGATGCTGTTTGCAATAGACAGTAGTTTATGACACGGGTGGCGCTGTGGGTCAAACCACTGAGCCTAGGACTTGCCGATCAGAAGGTCGGCGGTTCGAATCCCCGCGACGGGGTGAGCTCCCGTTGCTTGGTCCCTGCTCCTGCCAACCTAGCAGTTCGAAAGCCCATCAAAGTGCAAGTAGATAAATAGGTACCACTCTGGTGGGAAGGTAAACGGTGTTTCTGTGTGCTGCTCTGGTTCGCCAGAAGCGGCTTAGTCATGCTGGCCACATGACCCGGAAGCTGTACGCCAGCTCCCTCGGCCAATAAAGCGAGATGAGCGCCGCAATCCCAGAGTCGGCCACGACTGGACTTAATGGTCAGGGGTCCCTTTACCTTTACCTATGGCTCATGATTTCCCTCCTCCCCTCTCCCTTGTCCTTTCATGTGCTGTTCCATCCCTGTTTTCCAGGCAGGAAAGCTGTCTTCCTGTTTAAGAAGCAAGGAGCTCGAATAGCAGAATAAGGTGGTAGCATTCACCATGATATCACTCGGTCCCCAACCTGCGAGTCTCAGGGTCTGGATTAGCGGGGAGAGATAGTAAGCATAGACTACATCACAAATTGCCAAGTCCTCTGGGAACCTATGGTGAAAATCAAGAAGTGAGTGTACAAAAGAACAAGACAAAAGGGGAGGAAAGACCTTGAGAGCACCCTGTGGTTTGATTTTCAGCTGTGGCCAATGCAAACCGGTTGTTTTGTGTGTATGTGTCCCAAATAAACTGGAAATAAATGAGCTTTGCAAACTGGAAATGTAAGTGCTTACAGATGGCACGAATGGGGAAACAGCACTTGGTTCTTGACCTATGCTCACTGATTTGAATGCTCCCATGTGCACAACTGTGTTCAAATGAAACCGTTCAGGTCATGCCAGTACGCTGGGGAGGCAGAGTTTAATGCCCCGGTACTTCCATACATATTCATTGAATGTGCTGCTGAACATCCTTGAGGAACTACAGAGTGATGACCACCAAAATCTTTCATTTTTGCTTGCCCAGGTCCAGCCTGTTGAGAGAAGCTGAACAATAGCCAAAAATGGGTTGGAACTGCTACAGAGTTGGTACACTGAAACTACCAAAATCACGGAATCAGGATTCTTAGGGCAGACTCAGAAACATTACAGGCATGGTGGCAGAAAAGTTCCCCGTTTCTCATTCTTGTTTATTTTAACTGTTAATGGTCAGTTTGAGATGGTTGTGTAAAGTGGCTAATAAGCTTAATTAATGATCCGTGGGGATGGAATTCTGTACTGGTTACCTAATATAGCAATATTATACTGCAAGAATATTCCTAGGAAAATTCTTGAAGTGCAATAATGATGAGTTATGACGGGGGGAGTCTTGAAGAAGAAGAAAACTCCCCCCCCAACTAACCTAATTTGAGATGTGATTGGAAGGACTGATTGGCAGTTGGCAGAAATTAACGATAATGAACTCATTTTGATAGAAAATGAACCAGATACCATGCCGGCTGTTAAAAGTTTTCAAATCTGGTTTCTCTCTACTAAACGCAGTCCTCCAAGCTCTGTCCATCTGCCTACAAGAAAAGAACCTTTTACATGCTTCAAGAGAGGGAGGGGGGAAGAAAAAGAGAAATCCTGTTATAAAAATGCTGCTGTGAGTTACTGATTACACGATCACTTCTTTGCTCTCAGCAAGGAAGCTGAATGGTGTTAAATTCAGGGCAGAAGAGCAGCAGGTAACTTGAATGCAGCAAAAAGGGGAGGGGAGAGAATCATCATAGATGTTTACCAGACATAATTTCCAATTTTGCTTTGAAAGCAACTTTGGATGTTTCAGTATTAATGAACTTAAACGGGTTATATGCAGATTGCCAAACATTCAATAAGATGTGCACGGGAAAAGTTTGCCTTATGCATGCCAAGAAGAGATGGGGATGAGGTAGATGTGCTCTCAAATCTTCACTAGCTGGAGTAACGTGTAAAAACAACAACAACAACAACAACAACAACAACAACAACAACACACTAGTAGCATGACGGCAGTCAGAATCCCATGCACCTTTCGACAGCTTCAGTTCTATTAACTTCAGTGGGATTTATTTATGTCACTTGGTAGTGCATAGGTTTTGAGCCTGCGACACTGATTCACTCTGCAGACAGAATTCAATGCTGGAGAGTCAATGTAGTGAACGATATATTGGCAGACAGCTACTTTTGACTGAAATGCCAGTTGTGGGTCATTCTGCTCCTCATCCTAATATAAGGCACTCTAGGACATGTAATCAGCTTTTACCTGCAGGACAGTGAGCTAATTCTTCATTTTGTTCTTAATCAATGAAAGCCATCAAACACAACAGACGTTTCTTGACCCACTTAATGTAATGTGTGAAGCTGTTCTCCCAAGCCAGGCAAAAGGAACACACCTATATGGTTAGGTATGTACTAAGGCCCATTGAAGTTCCTGTGTGCTGCAATGCACATTCAGCATGGACAGTGACTTACATTGCTGATGTTATC